AATACAAAGTGCAAGTTATCCGTTTTGTCTAGGGAACTTGATCATAACTCCACAGCCTCTGCCATATCAAATCTCTTTCACAATCAGCTACATCTCCATTTCCTCCGTCGCTTTCTCATCCGCTTCGTGCGTTTGTGTGACCCCATGCAGTTGGGTGAACTAATGACCGAGGGCCACCAAGAGCCCGCACAAAGCTGGCCTCTGTGCTCATGCCCGGGCCAAACAACTCGTGGCTTGGGAGGCTGAGCCAAATGATGACACAAACCACAGAAGTCTCTCACTCAGACACTCACACACACACTCACACACTCTCACACACTCTCACACACACACACACACACACACACACACACACACACACACACACACGAACAAACAAAGTCTATGTACCATATTTTCAGACTGTAATTTTCTGCACATTCTCAATTAAAAGACGACGACACAAATAGAGAATCAGTAAAAGACAGATGTTTATTTCATCATTCCTCCCTGACAAGCAACTACTTTATTTTCAGAATGTGTGTTTTTATTTTATTTATTTTATTTATATATAATTGTTTTTTACTATTTGGGCACTGTCTGCAAAGAGAAGGCTGGAACAACAATTTAAATGCAAAGCACTAAAAACAGCCTCACACACACAAACACATACACACACAGGGGAGTTGGACAGGGCAGCATTATGCACCAGTAGAATAACAATCATCAGTCAATTAGGCCATGACATGGTCTCTTGACGGTGACACCGGCAGCCCCAGTGGAATACATCAGTGACTTCACACAGCAATATACACATACAAATGACAAACTGTCACTTCTTATTAACCCCTGAAATGCTGTCTCACTGGTGTAGTTACGGCTTAAACCTCATTTCTGCAGTATTATCTTTACTATGATGAAACATTTTTTTGTTATTTTCAATAGGTTAGAAAAATAAAGATGCAAGCTTTAGATCATTAGATCGCTTTTGGGGATAATCTTTAACACCAAAGCTGGAGCAAGTTTTATGTTACAGTTACTTGTGTGGGTTAAGTTTTTCTTAAAATTTGACAGTGAGAAATATTATTTAGAACATTTGCTGAGGTAATTTTAGACAAAGCTCAAACTGAAGATGAGACTCAAAGACTTAAAATCTGTAATTCATAAACCTAACTGTGGCTTCATGAGGCCTGCTGTGTGTACAACAGCAACAACATGTGAAATCCCATCTGCCACTTAATGTTTAGATTGCAGCTGCTTAGCTGACGCAGTCATCCACTTAGCTTTTACAATGTGCTGCAGGGTGACAGAACAAATACTCGGTCATGTTCGCTTTCAAATACACCTCAACGGATCCTGTACTGATTAGCTAATGAAAACACTTACTAGGTGTAGGGTCAAACATGTTATTTTTTGGCTCCAAGACATGCTCTCAAACCATCATCCACTGCACTCTCTGCTTTGAATATCCATCAGTTTTCTTCCACATATCCAATTCGGGGTCACAGGGGAGCTGGAACCTTTGCCAGCTGCTTTTCAGCAGTGGGGTACACCCTGGACAGGTCAGAGGATTTTCAAAAAATGATTTCTCATATTCAAAGGATTTTTAAAATGCTATGTTGAAGTTTGTTACATCTATAAACCTATGTGTTTCATGTAGTAACATGTAGTGTAAGGCCTTATTTGTCCCATTCACTATGTTATTCTTGTGCTGGTCGTTTACGCTCGTCTTATATTGTCTTCTAACTTCTGTCAGAAACTGCGGGGAAGCTCAATTGATGCACTGATGAATGGTCATTGAACGGCACCCACACACCTGAGCCTGGCATGGACACAATGGGGGACACATCGAGCACTTGGGGCTCGTACCACCTGGCACACTGGCCCTATATACACAGCAGATGGCTCGCGCTGGCCTCTGATGGAGGGTGCAGCTGAGGAATCCTAACCTGCGTTTGAGTGTTCGTGTGTGTGCAGCACCAAAAGCAGACAATAGGTACTAGATTGTCAAGTGCAATCCTCCCTTCTTCTCTCATCTCCCCAGACCACCTATTGAGATGGTGCATATGTGCGCAAGCGTATGTGTGAGTGTGTCATGGTTGATGCCCATTTATTGTCACTGCTCAACGGGGCCTGAAAGCACAGAAGTGGCTGAGAGAATCACTCAGACTTTTATCATTATAAATGTGTTGGCTAAACAAACCACAGCAGCTTTGTTACAATGCTTCTTCAGACAGAAAGGCATAAAAGAGGAGTGAATAAGGTCCACTATGTAAACTAGAATAAAGCTGACAAAGACACAGGGACCGATGGCAGGCAGAGCCAAGCACCCAGACATAATCACATCGTCAAAGAATCAGAGCTTTTAATCCTAAAAATTAAGTGCAGCAGATAGCCGGTCAACAGTTGTGCCCTTGACCACAGCAGTATCCAGATGACCATTGAAATTAGTTAATCAGAGGGCATCACCTCTCTTCATCGCTTCCTTCCCCCTTCTTCTTCCGCTAACCTCCTATATCTCCTTCATCTTACCATCTTCCTTCCTGATTCTCTCTCTCTAATGTCGGTGTCCCATCAAACCATTACTCATTAGTAAAAGCTTCTCCTGCGAGTGTGTGAGAGACTACAGAGCACAGAGGGACTTCATTAGTGCTTAAAACATGTTGTTTATGCTACTGTCTTGTTGCTCTGGAAAACCTTGAACATTATAGTTAGTTAAAAATAGACTGAGTGCAGATATAACAGATTATCAAAGCACTTCACGTCTAGCCAATAAAGACGTGAACAAAAAGTTATTTAAGGTAAAGTGATGTTCCTTAAACCTCAAAACTCTCCCAGGAGATTAATGTGGATCCATTTGGCAAACATTAGTTGGTTATATTTAAGATTATTGCAACAGTCACTGCCAGATTTGTTGTTTTTCGGATTTGCCAATCATACCTTTCCATGTCTCTTAAAACGCACCTGAAAAGCACACATGCAAGCTGTCTCCTTAAGGCAAATTCATCCAGCCAACCAATACTCTCCTTATTTCTGCCCCTCTTTCCCTTCATCGCCCTCAGGCAGAGCTATATAAACAACATTCAACACTAATGCTCTCCTGAGGAAGGTGTAAGAACAGGAACATACTCAGTAATTCCTTCATGGCCTGCATGGACTCCCACTCGTCCACACAAACTTTAACACTCGCCCTGAAACAGACGGTGCTTTTACTGAAAGGATAATGACACAAATAAAAATCAGTTACAGAAACACTGACGCACACAATCAGAGGACCCAACAATCTGTTATCACACACTATTAATTCAGTTGCTCTTTTTCCATTTTTTTTTTCTTCATCTGCCTCTTTATGGCTGCTGTCTGAGTGAGTGAGTGAGTGTGCGCGTGTGCATGTCTGTGCATGCTCCAACGTCAGGTTTTAGATATTGTTCCTTCACAGCAAACTGAATCCTTTCCAAGACCAGATTATTTTAGTTGTTTTTGGGTTTGACTGAAACACAAGGCAGCCAAAAGAACCGCGGGCTCCTTGGCTCTGCTGTTGCGCACACGCACACACATGATGGCGCGCACACACATGAAAACGACTTATCTCAAAACCTACTGCAGCAGTCTCTTCCCCAGGTGATGCGCCAAACACACGTATATACCTCAGTCAGAGTGCAAACACCACACAAGAAAAGACGTGAGAACAGCTAAATAAATAAAGGGACTGTTGCCGAGCTAAGTGAATGGGTGTCACTTTGACAAATGCACGGCACTGAATCTTAGTCGACACTGTATTGTTTGCCGTCTCATGCGCTCTCATAAACACAAACACATGCGTGCACACACGAACCCATGCCATCGCAAGCGCGATGCATTATTATGCACACTGTGAGTGACAAACACACAAGCATTGCGTGAATACATAAACTCGTATTAAAAGTGCACAAACACACAGGCTGATTATACATTCATAATATTGAATGGATGACAGGTCTTGAGCAGTGTGGAGAGAAATGGGGTGAATTCTAATGAGATACCATTTACCCCGAGAGCTCTGTCCTCCATAGTCTGGATACACACACACGCGCGCACACGCAAAGGAACAATTGCTGAGATTGAACACAACACTGTTACACAAAAAGGACCATAATTGCGGAAAATTTTACATATATCTAACATACAATCACAAAAGGTCAGCTATATCAGTTTAATCAGGCACAGAGGTTTGTCCATTTGTTACATGACCGCACATCATTAATCATTCCTCTACAGAAAAGGGTGCAACAGCCGCATAAGTGCGATGACATAAACCCTAACTTGCTTTGAATCCACAAAGAAATTGACCCAAAGAAAGGGACAATAGTTTCATCAAGAAATGCACTTTAGATTTTCTTCTTCCCCACCAATGCATCCATCACCACTTTATCCCTGTCCAAAGCTCTATCCACCTCAGCCCTGCACAGCTGACCTGAACAGAAAAGCCATTCACCAGTCATAGCTGTTGGATTGATTGAAGGTGAGCTCTTAAAAGACCGTACGTGGCATTGGGACAAAGCAGTTACGTTTTATGCCTGACGTGACAAACATGACAATCAATGAAAGAGTAGGCGCAGACTTGCTTTAAATTGCTTGTTAAATGAACAGGTTTTAAAGAGACACTCGGATGTCCTGCTGGAAATAGCCACCAGCAAGAAAAATGGTGATGACTGCATTTAGTATAAAAAAAAGCATCAGCAAAGTGCCTTATGCAAATCTACAACGATTAGGCCGCCAGTACACAGCTTATGAACTGACAAGCATCACTGGGCAAAACGCTGGTAACCATTCACAAGTAAAAAGATATTTGCCAGAAAGTTGCTTCCTTTTAACTGGATAATAAATAAACGACAAAAATCTAAATGCCTTTTTGGCTTACACACAATTTCCCTTCAACTTCATATTCCATCCAGTTCAAATGGAAAAGAAATACCAGCATCGATAGAAAAAAATAAAACAAAAATTTTAAAAAGACCACACACACACACCAACAATCCTACCTTCTTCAGTTTCCCATTGCGTGAGCCAACAAACGCCACAGTGTTGCCACGGTAGTCATACGCTGCCACTGAAGTCATGCCATCATCCTTATCGATGAAGAGAGGAATCCCCTCGATGGTGCTGGTTCCCCCCAGAGGCTGGTTGAAGTCCTGACCACAGAAGTTATCGTCGATCTGAAGTGGCTAGAGACAGGAGGGAAAGGCAACAAAATGAATCAGACAAAATAAAAGCACTCAAAATTCTATTCTGATCTAAAGCAGATTGTTCAGCAGAAAACAAATTAATGTAGGTTGTGATGTTTGGGGTGATTGTGTGAATGTTTTTCTGTCTGACAAGAGAATTCTTTAGATTTGTTGTGCTTTTAAAGTGGTATTTACAACAAGAAATGGAAAAGTATCTCATTTCAAAACAATAAATAGATTCCGTTTAATCATGAATTCATATAAGGACACATTCTAAAAATGCTACAAATTAGCTTTTATATTCAAAGAAATGCCTTTTTTAAATTCTAAACTAATGTGGTCTCATACTATGGAAGCTGCATGTGAAGCACCTATTCTGAGAATTCCTCAAATGCCCTTAAAAACAATTCGTAAAAGCAGCTAAGCTGCCTAAAAGTCAACTTGCTGCACGTTTCCATATTCAGTGAGAATGGCCAACATATTTGATTGTTGATTGATTATTGAAATTGAGGTTATTCACTCACACTCACACACTGCTGTCTTTAAAGCACAATCCCACCATGCAAACCCCTTTTATTCCACAGTGTTCGGTCATGGTGGTGACACGGCAGTAATGATGGTGACTATGTGACAATATCTGGAACATTCCAGTGTCACGAGGGGTCTATCACCCCAGGCAATCCACTGACCCATATGATGCTTTAACCAGTCATGACATACAAACACAGTCAGGGTATAATCCATGAAGCAGGGTTAAAATGCCACAGCCAATAAATGCTTTACTTCATTTGCACATTTTTGTACACAGTTTCAGGATATCAATCAGGTATCACTGGGGTTAAGTATTAATACATTAATCTGATGGATAACATTTAGTGACTGTTGTTTCTAGTTTCCCACGCTAGAAAAGTGACCAATGTTTCCTTATTTCATCACTATCAACATCTTCTTCCCCCCCCCAACTTCTGATCAGATGAAAACTAGCCTGAAAACCACTTAAACTCTGGGAAACTGAAAGCTATATTTTCTACATTGTTGTACATCCAAACAATAAGTGATTAATTAAACCAAACCAATAACTGTCACGGCCAATCAAAGTAATTCTCTAGTGCAAAATAAATGTTTAAAAAAAAAAAAAAAAAAAAAAAAGGTTGTCTGAAGTAGTGCTGGGCATCAGGTGACTTGTCACCATGTTTTTGCTGCTGATGAGATGAAGTTGGTAAGATAGGCTGACACCATCTAAGAGCTCAGACTTTTCTCAGCCTCAATGTGGAACTTTAAGAGAAGCTTAACACTTGTTATCCTGTTAAAAATAATTACACTGTCAAGTTCCAGACGTACAGGACTGATAACATTAATATGGGAGCTACACAGCAAAGGTTATCACTTGTTATGAGCCCGGCCACTAGCCGCTACCACAGTGATAACAGTTGGCTAATATTACTATTGGATTATTGCTAATAGAGTTAAACGGTATGCTGTGTGCTGGCCAGGTTAACATTTATGATAACTGTTTAAAACTTAAATATTTCTCAAACTGGAGCCTGACTCACTTCTTTAAGTTCCTAAGTGTCTGTTAGTGTCAAGAACGTCAACTACTTCAGCTGCTAGTGTGCCTGGCTGTCTGCAGCAGATATGTGTGAAGTTGTGTGTTCACTGAAGGAGGCAAAGCCAGCACTAGGCCTGCACAATAAATCGAAAATTTATTGTCATTGCGATATCAGCCTGCGCGATGGGCCCATCGCAAAAGACGACGTAAAGTGCGATAATTGGGTACCTTAAAATGTTTACACACGTGCTTTAAAGAATTTACCAATCAAAGAAACCCCTTTACACATTTGACCAGTCGAATAGAGCCCTTCACGGCATTAACCAATCAAATGGATTAGAGGCCCGCCTCCTACGCAGGTGGGGAGCGAACAACGCTGCAGCAACGAGTCAGAGTTGTAAAGGTTGAGAGCGAGACGCATGACGAGAACGCTACTGACTATGAACTCGTGCCTAAAAAAAAAAAAAAAAAAAAATAGTACCTCGCTTATTTGGAGGTATTTTGGATTTGATAAAGACGACGTTCTCCAAACACAGGTACTCTGCAAAACTTGCCGAACACTCGTGGCAACCACCAGAGGAAACACAACTAATCTCCACCATCATCTTCAATACAACCACAGAGAACTGTTTGAAGAGTTCCAGAAAGACAGGGGTAGCTAAACAAAGGTTGCTAATGTTAAGACAAAGAGCACAGCAGTCCAACAGCCGTCTCTGTATCAGAGTTTTTCAAGTGGAACTCCTTATGAGAAAAAGTCAAAGCGCTACAAAGAAATAACAGAGGCCATTACACATTTTTTAACAATGCCTATAAATACAGTTAGCAGAGAGGGCTTCACCAGTCTGATACATAAAGTGGACCGGAGATACCCATCCCCTCACGAAACTACTTTTCCCATGTCGCCATTCCACAAATGTATGAAACATGCCGGAAGACAGTCATGTTTGAACTGAGCCAAGCTGAAAACTACGCAAGCACTACAGTAAAGTTTCCTCTCCAGTTTTGACTTGCATCATAACTACTTGGTGAGTGGTAAAATGATGAACAACTGCATTGAGATAATTTGCAGTATAATTTAAGTTATGTTTATTTAAAACTAATTCTAGAGACCAGGAAGGATGTCTTTCAGAATTCAAGCCTCAATGTTTTTTTATGGGGGCAATGTTTCAATGTTAAAGTGCACTTTGTTGTTACACTGCTAATACAGCAGCTTTCATTAAATAAAACTGTTGCAGTAAAGCGGAAATTATGTATTCATTTTTTGTTTTTATTTTGCTATTTATTTTATCGCAAGTCACATCGTTATCGCAGTATTGATCACAGTTATCGCACATCGCAGGTTTTCCTAATATCGTGCAGCCCTAGCCAGCATTGTTAGTGTTAGCATCGTTGCTGTAGAAATTGATTATCACCTCAGACAGTAATTTTTAGCAATGATTAGTGTATGAGTATCAATTTTCTTTGACAACGCCAATCAAAAAAAGTCCACTTTGGATGCTGTTATTAACAGAGAATAAATGTTTGTGCATCTGCGACTTAACCACAGCCGGCAAACGTGTGAGTTGCTGTATTCACACACATACACATACATAGGGAGCGTGTAAATGGCGGTGTAATCCATAGTCTTATCACTACATCATCTGATTGATCCGCACAGGAGAAAAGATAACACCCACTCCCTCCTGATCTGCTTAAATTGCCTGCAGCTCGGCACAAGTCAATAAAACGTTATTCTGCCTTTTTCTTCCTTCTCACTCTTTTTCTGTCTCCTCCTAGCCACTACAGTAACTTAGCAAACATCAATATTCCCTCCCTGTCCTTTTCTACTTCTGTACCTTCTCTTTTCATCCACCCCTTCTCTCTCCATTTCTCACAAAGTCACCAACTCCAGCCCTCTGTCCATCACACATCTGCCCACTTAGACCAAGTCCTCCGAGAGGTGGTAGGACAATCAACTCGAGACAACAAAGTGCTTGCCCCTTCTTACTCCCCATTTTTTTGGCCCTAACGTGTCACAGGGTAGAAGGAAACAAATAAAGGGGTCAGTTTAATGGGGGTTTCTGTGTGTATGGCAGTGTGTGCATTTAACGAAGTGAGAGCTAGAAGCAAACGCAACCATTACCTGAAACAACTTTCTTTAGTAACCACTGATGGCTAGAAGGCACTTTCATCCCTCACAACAAAGGCGACTGACAGACAAACATAAGCACCCATGCGCACACAATAAACCGAGACATTCTTTCAACCTGAGCAAGCAGATGTGGTTACAAGCAACAAAATAATTCCTCATACACATCATATGACAAAAACTAGGGCCAACCATTTTAAACCATGTAGTCATGTGAAAGAAGTGCATGCGTCTTCAGTAGCGTTTCCACACAAACAACCACACACACACAAAATCCCAAGATGTACAAGCCTAAGAGGCAGGACCTAAAAAGGTTAATGTATCTTCTTTAGAGGAGGCCAACTGTGGAAAATACTGTATACAGTTGCCCCAAGACTCTATAAGGGTTAATACACAAACCACCATTACAAACACAGGCATTAGCAAGTGCTCACACAGTAACCTACTAGGGCCGAACGATTATGGAAAATAATCTAATTGCAATTTTTTGCCCCAATATTGCGATTGCGATGCGATATGCGATTATTTTTTAAGGTCTTTGTCTTCTGTATTATTAAACAAAGACAAGCAATACATCATATAGTATGGCCAATACTATATTACATTAATTTTAAACTGTTCTTTCCTGGAAGACAGACCTCTGTTATGATGACATGAGGTGATGCATGAATTGATGACTGACATTTTTATTTAACTTCTTCAATCACAACAGTATATTTGAACATACACAATAGTTTATTTTTAGCTTACAAACATCTGAGCATAAAGTGCTGACAAGGAACCCTGGTGTAAACATTAAAATGAAAGTCAGTACAATGTGCAGATTGCAGAAATATACATAAAAAAAAAAATCAGTGGCTTTACCACACTCAGTTTTTCGACATCTGTGAACTACTAGACAGTCATTCAATTAAAAAATAATATTAAATAAATAAAACTAATAAATAAAAAATACACACAGCTTACTGATCTCTGCAGTCAGTAACATTACACATAAAGTGCAAACATAATAGCAATTGTATAAACACACACACAAACACGCCTTTAAAATTTAAAGGCGTGAATTGGACGGTCTAGCCTTCTGAATCAGAAGGCTAGTTCTGATTAGCGTCACCGCTGTCTCGGTGGAGTTTAATAAACTCGGCCGTCTGCTTCTTGCTATCTAAAATATAACCAGACACTGGCGTAAATTCTCGACTGTCTCATACTTCTGTTTAATAAGTTTTCTGTTTGACGTTTAGTCAGCTGTGTGAAAACCAAGGAGGAACCCACCCGGGGGATTAATAAAGTTTTATTTTATCTAATCTAATAACTTTAATCTCA